TCTCTCTCTCTCTCTCTCTCTCTCTCTCTCTCTCTCTCTCTCTCTCTCTCTCTCCCGCCCTGCTTTTTGCGCGCCCATTTCCCTTTCTTGATCATCTGAATCTTGGACCCGTCTTGCGCTACTTCCCGCGCCTTTTCTCCCCTCACCCTCTGAGTCTGGCGCACGACGCCCGGTAGATCCATCGGTAACTCCCGCTCGCCAATCAGGTGCGCGGATCAATAGGACCTTCCTATTGCGCGGCGAATCCTATTGGTTGAACCTTGAGTTTCGAAGGATCAACATGGCATTCGTAGAGCATTCTTCTCAAAGTCTTGTCCTCCTACTTCTCCTCTTACACCTCAGCCCTCCCGTCGCTTTCTCCCCCTTCTTTCTCCCCTGTCGCAACAGACTGTGGGATCTGGGCGGACCGTGTCGAGTCTACGACAGCGGGGTGACAATCGCAGTGGTGGGAGTTAGCACGCGGCGGCCGGGACCGTCGGTGCGGGTATGAGGATTGATGATCGGAGTTGAGTGAGTAATTGGCCCGGGGCCATATTGGAATTAACGGTGAATGCGCCGTTGTTGTTGCAGATCTGTATTTTTGGCGTGAGTGTACGGCGGCAACGCCGAACTTCTCTCTTCCCGGACCTTCTCTAATGCAAAATGTGTCAGATGGCTCGCCACACCGTCAACACAAGTTGTGGAGAGTGAATTCGGTTTCCCCGCCTGTGCACGGCGGTTTGTGGAGAGTGGTCCTCGGACCTCTCCACAAAACATCTTTCTGGAGAGTGTAGGGCTTCACCAGTCGACATCAAGTAGACAATTTTTTTTAACTTTTCTGTAGAAGAAATATAGTGGCGAGTAAGTGCAACCAGGCCTCGAGTTCGACGCGATTCTCAGTTTTTTCACTCTCCGCGCATCCGCCACGAAATGTGACGGATGGCGAGTAGTGCAACTAGGCCCTGAGTCTTGCCAAGAAGTTGTTTTGTGGAGAGGGACAACCCTCCACAAACCCCCGTAAACAGGCAGGGAAACCCAAATCACTCGCCATAACTTGTTTGGACGCAAAGTTTGGCGAGTAAGGGCCTCGCCACACCACAGTCGAACGGCCAAAAAAATTGACGGCTATCAGAACAAATTCGACAGCCTCCATTTGACAGTTTGCCCCCCCTTCGCCACACAGCACTGTAGAGTGCACGCACTTGTGAAAGCAAGATGGAAAAAGACCAACACGCCTGAGGGTACGACAAGCATCAGTCCATCCCGACCTTACCCCCACTCACCAAATTTCGAAGCGAAGTCGACAGCGCAGCCGAGGAGTGTCGAAAGCATCGGAGTAGCAGGCTGGGGATTCAGCGACTTTCGACAGGAGGTGTAGAGAAGCATTCTCTGCCAACTTGCAAATTTTCTTCTCGTCTCGGACTTCGACAGCCTGTGTGGCGAAGAGGAACTGTCGAAAATCGCATTTTCGACAGTGGTGCGGCGAGGCCCGCCACACCAATGTCGAAACATCACGAAATTTGACATATGTCCGGAGATTTTCAACATTCCCTCTTTCGACAGAAAACCCCTCTTCGCCACACAGCATGTAGAAGTGAAGAACTCACAAGTCCTGTGCACAAAAGAGACAAACTGGGGTGAAGATAGGACAAGCGTTGGTGCGTCTCTTTTTCGACATTTGGGCAAGAATTCGACATTCCATCCGAGGACTGTTGAAAATGTGCGAGTTGCAGGCTGGGAAACGAGCCCTTCTCGACAGGAGGTGTAGAAACCCTTTCCCTGACAGCTCCTGAAATTTTTTTTTGCATCTCGGATTTCGACATGCTGTGTGGCGAGGAGAGAATGTCGAAAATGCAGTTTTCGACATTGGTGTGGCGAGGCCGTAAGTGCAATCACTGCAATCAGGGGCCTTCTCGCCAAACTGGGCGTATGGCGAGTAGTGCAACCAGGAGGTCCCCCTTTCTAAAAGAAAAAACAAACGAACAAACAAATAAGGATGATCAAACCTTAGCTGGTTGTCGTTTTGGTTGCCCCGAAATTTTGACCGCTATCGTCTTCAGTTCACGCGAATACCACGTCGGGGGCGTGTCCCACGACCTTCTTCCCCCAAATACAACGTACGGTCATTTTATCTGTATCTAGACTGAAAGATATAGTTGTATCTAGACTGAAAGATATAGCTGTATCTAGACTGAAAGATATAGTTGTATCTAGACTGAAAGATACCTCAAATGCAGCTATAATGACCGTACGTTGTATGGGGGGGAGAAGGGTAGCGGGGGACCGGGGGTTTAGTTTATTTTTCGTGTATTTTCCAACGTGGTCAAACCAGGGCCGTTAGATTTTCAGATTGGATGGCAAGGAGCCATATGTATATTCGAAACCAGAACAAAACCTCGAGAAGTGGGACATGGCCCCGAGTCATTTAGTGCCTCGCCACACCGATCTCGAAATGTGAAAAAGACGAAAATGTGGCGAGTGCATTTAGCCATGTTCTAGCGGGACGTTCATTCTCGTTATGCACATTTCGAGAATGGTGTGGCGATGCCCTTATAGCATAATTTGGGGCAAATTCCGGACCGGTGCAGTGAATAGTAAACGGGCGTTATTTTGCAGTGAAGACGGTCGGCAGTCTAGCCAGCGGCGCTCGACCCAACAGCTTCGTTCCACCACTCGCTGAGATCAGTGAGGTGTGATATTGTATATGGCCACATTCTTTGTCCATGTACAGTTCTGATTTCTAACCGCCCTTCATGAGTTCATAATAGCCCTCACGGCTCACAGCAATAGGAAATGAAGAAGAAGATCGAAGTGGAGAAACCGCGCTGAGATTCTTCTTAGTGCCATAGCGCGAGGTAGTTACCCAGTCCGTGACACACTCTCTGCACATCTCGGGTACCAGATCACGGCTGCTGATTCCTCTACGGCATCTGTTCGCTAATTTCTCCTAATCCACTCTATTGCAAAGGTTGTATTCATTCTCTCTCTCTCTCTCTCTCTCTCTCTCTCTCTCTCTCTCTCTCTCTCTCTCTCTCTCTCTCTCCATCAATCGATCGATCGATAGATCGATCGCTCTCTCTGGGTGTTTGTGCGCGCGCGCTTTGTGTAAGTGTGTGTGTGCGCGCACTTGTGCGTGTATTTGTGTGCTCGCGCTCGTGTGTGAATGTGTGTAGTGCGCGCGCTTGTGTGTGTATGTGCCCCCGCTCGTTCGTTTGTGTGTGCCAGGCAGCTTCGCTTCCGCTTCGGTCGGGCCACTTCCTCTCCATCCAGTCCTCTTCTTTCCCCGGCTGTTCCTTCGCGCTCAACCCACCGAGGAATTCCAATAATTCAGACAGGACAACTACTGGATGGAGCAGTCGCGTTGCTGAGGCAGAATCTCGGCTCTTGTCTTCCTTTTGAAATCTGTTTGGGGCGAATCTCAGACTGGCTGACGTCCTCAGTCGCAGCGCCAGGTCTTCTGTCCGTATGTGTATGTCTCCCCGTGGTCTGGCTGTAATCTGGAAGGAGCAGTTCTTTCAGACATCGTATAAGGTGCAGGTGTCTCGTTCTCGTCGTGGGGATATCGATATCGATGGCTGGTCGGCTCTGCACTCATGGATCGCTATCGCCATCCTATCTTCCGATCCTCTGGCAACCAGTTTTATGCCTTCGCATCAGCCGCATCTCGAGCGCGGTGATGGTGCTAGCGCTGACGATGGCTATGATGATGATGATGGGAGTCATCCCGACGCGGGTGGTCGCTGTAGCCGGAGCAGATGGGATGTTCACAGCTCGGAGAGGGATGGAGTCCGTTGCGGGAACGAAGGGCGCACATGATGACATTGACGATATGCGAGGAGACAGGATGCTTCAAGTGACGCGCTCGTCTGATCTGCTCATCACGAACATGACTCTTCTTCAAGATTCCCGCGTGGTTCTGACCGTTACAAATGTCCTCGGTCCTTCGTCGGGAACGATTGAGTGCTTTACATGGGTCAGGAGCATCGTATTCAGCTCGCACAAGGGGCTGTTCTTCTTCATGCAGGATGATAGCTGCTAGGATACGACTACAAACAAGTACGTCAGAGGAAGTCGCTATCTGTGCAAGGGCGATTTGCGCGGCATTGCCAGCTCTGGGGCAGCACAAGGCAACTCCTCTGTGCTGACTCGATACTGGTCGTCGGCAAATCTTAACGGCTCTGCGGATAGTGCCGACGAGAGGCTAACAGTGGGCGTGAAGGCTGATTACTGGGGTTTCGATCTGTCGCGGAACGAGCGGTATGTCGTTGTGCCCGTTCGTTGGGGTCTGGGATTCGTAAACACGATGGATGGTTCTAGAACCACTTATTTAACGAACGATATCAACTATACTGTCGGAGCCTTCAATCCTAGACGTACGATCTTGTACGTGGCAAGGGATAGCTGCCTTTGGTACTCCACCATGGACGGCGAGTCGCCGGGTACCTTTGCGCTCGAACCAGTAGCATGCCCTACTCGGCCTTTTGAAGCCGATCCTCCATGGCTCACCTTCAGTCATCGCAGCTTTCTCCAAGATGGGAGCTACCTCTACTCTCTGGACTCACTTAACACTAGAATTCTACGTTTCGACCCAATTACCAGGACCACGGAGTTTGTGACCGGAACAAGAATCCAGGACTACGTGGCTGACAGCCAAAACCCTGGGAGGGCATTTAACTTGGGAGAGCCTGCGCTGGCGCAAGATGGATGCAACTTGTTCTTCGTCGCAGATGGGGCGGCGAATATTCGTTGGGTGGCTTTCGATAAACCGGGAGGGAAGATGGTTATGGATGAGACGGTGGCGAGATGCATCGTCCTGGGAGGATGCACGATCGGCACGGTTGCTTTAGATAACGATGACAGCCATTTGTACGTGTCCATCCAGACGGGCCAGTTGTTTGAAATATTCGAATCAACAAGCTAGGACTGCGCAGATGTGTCGGTGCATTTCCAACGACGGCAGCGCCTACAGACAGGAGCTCATCCGATCCATCGCCATCGCCATCACCATCGCCATCGCCATCGCCGTCGCAACCAGCAGCACCATCGTCATCGCCATCGTCAACGGCGGCGGAACCATCAACTGATTTACCTCGAGAGGAACTCACTGAAGCTCAGCGAGCCTCAGCCTCATCTCTGGGGCCATCCGTTTCGGCAGTACGCAGTGGCAATGCTGCAGGCATCAGTGGGGAGCTGTCTGATACGCTCTCAACTCCTTCGCCGGAACATGTCCCAACCCAAGCGAGGAGAGGTGTTAGTGTCGGCCTCATGGCTGGCGTGGTTGTGGCAGGTTGTCTGACCTCTGCAGCTCTCGCTGCTGTTGCGGTTTTTCTCAGCTTTCGCTCAAGAAAGTCAGCCATGGCGGGATCAGACTGTACGACTGAACGGTCTTCTGCTCTTGAACCCCCTATAGCACGGCCTTCTGCTCTCTAACACCCTGCACCCTGGTCGTCTGCTCTCGAACACTCGATTTAAGTCAAATTATGTCCTTCTCTTCGATTACATGCTGATTGAACTCGCTTTTGAAAGTCGCAATGTCGTGTGTCTGTGCGCGCAACGGGGTGTAATAATTGGTGTATGTTCCTGCTCTCCATTCTCATGCGCAGGCAGTCTAGCCGGGTTCTGTGAAACCGCGCGCTGATTGAGCGCGCTGTTGGCGCTAAAGAGTTTGAGCGCCGCTCAATCCCGCGCTCAAAGCGCCTTTAGCGGGGTTTGAGC